TCTCTTGTAGTCTAGTTTATTCTGTATTTCATTACGTTACAAATGAATTTAAACATCTGCATTGAGTTTATTACATATATATTTATTTGTTTAGAAATTCTGCAATGCAGAACTTTTCTGATTTGTCTGTTAAGGCTGAATTCCCAGATTCCGCTGATCCGGTTTATCAACAGCATATCGTTCTTATTATTGGCTTGAGTTGTACTGTTGTACCGTTGTTCATTATTCATTATTATTTATCTGTAGTTCATGTAATAGTAGAACAGAGGGGATGCCTGATGTGAAATCGACTAGTTTAAGTATCTCGTCTCGTTCGTCTCCAAGAATCTCTCCTGCAATCAGAATAAAATGAAGGTTCATGCTCACATCCAGTACTTTTATTAACATGTTGAATATTCGGGTTGTGTAGAATGTAGCCCTTTCCACAAAAAGCTGCAGATATTTTTCCCCTTGCAGGTCAGTGCTGTTGTACGGCTTGGTGACAGTTGTTCTAACGAAGGGGCAAAAACGAATGCTGAATGTGGTTAAATCATAGGGCCACATAAATAATCACTATTCTCTTCCAGGCATAAGTAAACTCAGTAGACATGGAATTTAAGAAAAGGAGATGTTAGACAAGCTGGCTGAACAGGAATCATTTACTCCAGCCAGCAAGCTTCTCGTGTGGGAACCGAAACGCGGCCGACGATGACCCTAAGGCCAGCGTGCAACATACAGAAAAAAGGAAGAGGCAGATATGATTTTGGATAGGAATAGATCCTTCTACGATACAGTAACCATTGTAGCAAAGGTGTTGTAAGACTGATAACACAATGGACATCGCAGACCAGAGCCGTTCTTTCTGTGCTCATTAATTAACGTGATGTTCACGTACACAACTCATAGTTACACGCGAGTCTGTGGTTGGATGTTTTTATTAAGCTTTTGTCATCGTTTCAACAATTTATCTTAACCTTCCCGCTCCATGGTTCGAGACAAATTGAAAACGTCAGTGTAAAATCCTTTGCTTACCGACTGCGTTTTGATGCCTCACATTAGCGTCATAATCGGGTTTATATGTTAATGAAGTGATTTTGCATCCTTGAACCATGGGTGGGGATGCAAACATCGTTATATGTCGATCAATCAGGAAACGAATCGATACCTCATTCCATGACAATTTAATGTTGCAGTAGATACAGAGAACAGTAATACAGTGGGACCTTTCCTTATCATTGGAATTTTTAGGACTTCCTTTGCATAAAAAAGCAAGAACAGCGACCTATCAGCGATTTCTCGTTGCTTGTTTAGTTTGTTCTTTAATATACGATTGTTACGCACTCTCGTACGGACATGTAACGGAGAACCTGATGTCAAAATACAGCGAGGAGTTCGAAGAATTTTAATGTATTTTATTTTCCGTACACGTGCCTCGCTGTCAGAAGGCGAGGTAAGGCCGGTGCAAGCTAACCATTTGTGTAACATCTATAACGTACAGTTAGTACGTGTCAGTACGTCCTTCTAGTTAACAAGAACCTGAACTTGATATTTTCTGGCGAACGTCATCTTCGAAACGTAAGTGAAGTTTCACTTTCTGAGTTGAATAGCTGCGTGATTTTCAGCGATCATGCAAATGCGTTTCTTGCGATTTTGTTAACAGTTCTACACCGTAGATCCCGTTATCGACATTATGATACATTTAGGACGATCACTCACCCTACTCATTCGGAGGAGCAATTCGTTTTAGCGAAGTTTTGACTTACTTGATGGTTATCCACCAATTCTTTTGTGTTTTGTTTGTTGTGGTTACTATATTTCGTTTTTAAGGCATTCTGCAGCAGGATTTCCAAGATTTTTATGAGTCGTTCCCACGAAATAAGTAAATAAGTAAACTATATACTATTCATTCCATCTGCAACGCATTTTGGCCTTCGTCGATTGTGCCACGTTTTTTATTAAGCAAAACTTAAGCCTTGCCTTGTTTCACTTGCTGACACTTCTTAAAAGCGCCCTCTCTTTCATCGATTGACTGACTGTGTTTCTTTTTATTTAGTTCGCCGTCAGTCGTATCCTGTGTCTTACCGAGACTTGCGTCGTTGAACGAGACCCGGCCACCTATAAGCTCGTGACCTTGCGAGCGGCCTGTAACGTACAATGCGAGGCCCTTCTTGGCATGATCTCATTTTTTATTGTTGCAGATGTTTTGCATCATTCGACCACAAACAGATTTGCATGCATTCCAAATTCAGTATTATTCC